TATAAATATGATTTTTTTTATAATTAATAATCTTTACAAATTATAAGATGTTAGAATTTTTTCCTTTCTCGATAGTAAACCACTTATTGATGGCTACATTGCAAATATATTAATATTAGCCTTTTTTTTTTTTGTTCATTTTCCAAGTTTGGTTTAAGGGGAAATTGTGTGATAATGCGTATTGAAGAGAAAAGATGTCGAAGAAATGGATGAATGATTGGAGGGGTGAAGAGAAATAGTTGTCGTTGTGAAGAGAAAGGCAATGAAGAAAGTTTGGTTCGAAGGTCAACTGGTATGTATACGATAGAAATGGAGGCTGGCAGGGGGATAATTGTAGCACTGATAATGGAAGTATTTAATGCATTATTGCAATAATTGAAGAAAATATCTGAGATGTTCGGGGTGAAGAGAAATTAATAATCTGAACCAAACAAATGACGCATTTAATGGTAATTGCCACTGGCGATTAAATCAATCAATAAATTTTTGTGACAAAAAGATTCGAGTAGACTATTATGATCTTTGCGATAGTTTGATAGTGATTAATTTCAAAATTCTCTGATTACTTAAGTGAGATTGTATCTTCTCACTCGTACTTTTCTCCCATAATGCTACGATGATTTCAATTTGGGTTAAGGTTACAGTACTTAGAAACTTAGGCCATTTGATGTTTTTCACTGTTTTCATCATTTCTTTCTAATTCGTAATTTGAATTTGTCTTTTTTTTTTCCGAGAGTTTCGCAACACACCGCAATACTCTTTTTTGTTTTTGACGTTGGAAGTGAAATTTAAATTGTGAATTATGTTTGTTTTGTATCGATTGTTAATAATGCTAAACAATAACTGAAATAATAATTGTCGTACAATTTAGCAAAATAATTGATAGATATAAGAATAGCACTTTATGATATATTAGCACAATTTCTGGTTGCTAACCAGTTATTAGCTCTAAAAAAGTTTACCATTTCATGATTTTATGATCCATTATTACCAAGGCTGTTATTAATCAATCATTGCCTTTCATCCAATCTTGCACAGCTACTTAAAAGAAAGAGAATTTGTTGACTTCTTTATTTCGGTCCTCTTTTTTTTATTCAATCATTTTGTAAAATGATGCGATGAATTTTGACATTTCCGTAAAAATGCTACAAGATGGAGCGTACGCATTAAAATCGGAGCAAATTAAGATGAAAATGCCAGTTGAACATTATTCTTCCCTTATGTACATGTTTTTCTTTTTTTTTTTGTTGTTGTTGTTGCGAACTTCCGAACAAGAAAATAAGCAATGGGAGAAGGGAAAAGAAAAGGATTGCAATGATTTACGCTTTAGCCAAGTTTAAATTCACTCAATTTTTTTTTTTAATTGAAGCAAATGGTATTATTTGTTAAATGAGATAAAATGGAAAAATTTTGAATATCGTCAGAATCAAAATTCCCAACCATAAACAAAAGAAAAAAATGAATTTGAAATTGTGGATATCATATCTCCGACTTTCTGAATATTTCGAACGCTTAAAAAAAGATTTATAATTCTTTCTTATAACAAAATGAAAACGAAATGATTGATATCGCTTTATATCGCGTTATTGGCATTATAATGTTCGATTTGATTTTTAAATCCAAATTTACGATTTAAATGAAAATAATATTGCAGTGACTTTTTTTAAGCTTTGTAATTTCTCCAAATATTTATCTATTTCAATTTCAGCTCTTACGAATAAGTATTATTAATTAAGAAAAAACTTCTTAAGTATTATTTATGGATCATTTCTCGAATCATTGTACAATTGAAGATTTTCGAGTTTTTGAAGTTTCGGAAAACTAATGAAGTGACAAATAACGAATGAATAGGAAGATGTAAAATGACGGTAACTAATGATATGGTTAGGGGGGAAATCAATGATCAACAATAGATGAAAACGAAGTCTGAATGATCGATTATTGTAGAAGTCAACAATGATGACAGGATATATTGTAGAAAATCAAGAAATTTGCTTGAAATCAAACTATTAGTTACCTACTATCATTTATCATTTCTGATAATAATATCACCTCAATGAAACGATCCATGATAGACTAAACAATGAGAAAAGAATTGGTATTGCGAAATATTTTTGCAGTTTAATTTTACCTTGTAATAATTATTAGAAATTAACAAATAATGCGTTAACGAGAATATTTTAAAAATGATACAAAATTTGAAGTGTTACTTCTTTTGAATATATAAAAATATTGAAAAATAATAATTTGAATTGGAATAAATCTCTCTTACTTATTTTGCAAAAATTTTACATGAATGTATGATTTATATTTTTTTGTTATTTTATCAAAAATTGCAATTAAGATTTAGAATATTTTCATCCCTTTCCTTTCTTCAGTTATCAGAAATTGGAAAATATCTATTCATTTGATAAAACAATGATGATTCTTAAGAAATTTTACAGTTTTTATCAAAATAGTTAGTTAATCAATCTTTATGAAATATAATAGTTTCAAAAAAAAAGTGGAAATCAATTAAAGTTTAGTAAAAAAATTAATTGTTGATGAAATCATACTAATAGCTATTATAATTAATTGCATGAGATATGAAGTGGTGTGATGTCTCTAAAACAAAAAAAAAAAAATCACTGAAAAGATTTAGTGATTGTTGGAATCATTTCAATTGAACACATTTACATTATCATGAAAGCATTTTAAAGAAAGTAATTCATTCAATCAATATTGCTATTCTTTAACACTGCAAAACAATATTATCAAAAATAACAATTTCAATATTAAAAAAAATGTTTGCTCTAATCTTTTTTTTTGTTGCTTAATACCTGCTAATTCTGACCTTGAAAAATGTGGGGAAAAAGGAGCAATAATGATTAATAGAAGCAAAAAATAAATGAAGTGAAGAATGAGGAAGTGAAAAAATTGTGTAAATTCAAGAATTCAATATTTCTCGAAGATGTAATTTAAAATTTAATTTTCTGTATGGAAGAAATTTCTGGATGAAAGGAATGTTTTTATTATTTTTTGATTATAATGTCATTAAAATTTAATCAGTCACAATTTTTAAAACAATATTTACTTTAGATTTAAAACTGATAAAGCTCAGGATAGCTGTCATTTAAGAGGCTATGTTCATGGTCATATTATTTTAAAATTCATAGGAATTTCTCTTTTACGATACATCAAAATTTTGAATATACATCCAAAAGAACTTTTATCATTGTGAAATTTAAATTATATCAAAATTTAACCAATTCTTCATTTTTTTCGTCAAAATGTATTTCAATAAACTTTCACAATGTAATATTTGAGGTGGTGATATTTTGTTTTGTAATAGAATAAAAATTTATTTTCATCAGAATTTTCACATTAAAATTGAAAATAACATCATTAACTTCTAATTAAAGATGGTAACAAAATAAAAAGGAAATCGCTAATGGAAGTTTTCTTGTTTTACCTTTCTTTCCTTTTTTTTTTTAATTATTTATGCTTAAAAATTTTGAATAAATACATTTTAAAAACGAGTTCTTTTGCGGTTTTTAAATTTTAAATGAAAATAAAGGCGAAATTTTCTTTTTTTCCTTTTGTGCTGTAAGTTTTCTCTTACATTGTTACAAATAAATTGTTACATTCAATAATTTTTTTGACTGATTTTGTTGTTTATAAATGAAAATGCTATTGTTTTTGTCGCTGTTGACGTCATCGGTACTTTGTTTTGACAGAAAGGTAAATAATTCGTTGATGCTAAATGGAAGAGGTTTTTGATATTCTGGTGAAATGAAGAAATTTTTAATTTTTTTAAAGTCACAGTCGCCAAAATATTTGAAATTTCAAAACTCGATTGTTATCAGCAGTTTAATGAAAAATTTTATCGAAATTTTTTAGAGAAATAATTTTACTGAATTTGAAGTTTTACACAAACTTTGGGAGCAGTTAAAAAAAGTAATCAGCTTTTTTATTTACAGCTATCTTGTATATTATTGAAATTTTTTAATCAAATTATAAATTGATAATCGTTAAAGTTTTAATTAACAAATAGAAAAACGAAACACAAGAAATGTTCTAATTCCAAAATAAATTTGCGATAATTAGTAATATCAGTTGAAATAATTTAGAGTATTAACCTATTAAAAAACTGATATAGTAATTTAGTTGCCACTAAATTAACTTTAGTACTATTAAGGTAATCACACAAATATTATTTTCATAGGGTAATTTTCAAAAGTATGGGATTATCAGTGAGACTAAATCATTCTCTTTTAATTTATCCCATTCATTAATTAATAATTATATGTGCTTCTCTTTTAAGTGGTAAGCAAAAGTCATTTAACCACTAAAATTATGTAAATAACATTTAGCACAAACTAATTGAGCTTTATTATCAATTTAAAAAAAGAACTTTAATAATTCCTAATTTCTATTGAGATTGTACAGTTAATTATTACAACTAATCAGAAGTGAAATATTAACCGATCGAGATTGAGAATTGATGAATTTGATGAACTTAGAAAGAAAAAATAAAGCTGAAGAATGGATACGTACCTGTCATATCAACTATCGTTTTTCTGTTTTAATAAAAAAAAAGCATCCTTATCAATGCACTCTATTGTTTATTTATTTAGAGCTTTTAAATAGCTAGAAATGGTAGCTATGATAAGAGTTTTTTTTTTGAACCATAACACTTTGAAATGAATAATACTGATATTACTCAAAAATGGAATAAGAAGACATGTCAGGAAATCGTTTTAAAAAAATTTAACTTATCTTATGGTCATAAATATAGTTTACAATTAAAATTATCAAATTAGTTATTTCGTTTACAACTATTGTATTTTTTTTACTAAGTTAAACTTAAACATAATTTTTTGAATAAAAACAGTTATAAGTTAATAAAACAGTTAGTAAAACATTTTTTTAATAAAAACAGTTGCATTTTTACTAAGTTAAATTTAAAACAATTTAATAAAAACAGTTAAAATTAATAACGGATAATTAACAGATGAGTTATGCAGTACGGTTATTATTATCTAACTATACACGGTTACCTGTACTTGCACAATTTATCACAGTAATAATATAATTGAATTATACAACATCATAATAAGTGATATATAATGTAATGGTACAATCACTATTACTTAATTTCATATTAATTATTCAGATATTGTTTCAGATACCCAATTATTCAGACCGGTCAGTGGTGGTGATTGCAGCGCGATTGATCCAACAGATAAAAATTTGGCCGAAAATATGATCAAAAATCATCTTGTCGTACCAGTTGAAGATACTTCAAGCAGAAAGCTATTATCGATCGATGATATCACTAAAGCTGTTGGTACAGGTTGTGTACCCAAGGTAATTTCAATTTAAATATGCAATTCTAGAATCTTAAATCGAAAAAAAAAACTGTAAATAATTTCATTTTTTTAGCTTACTGACACTGATTGCGCTCGCTCTTTATGCTATCATTTGATGTATCGAAGTTATGATGGAGTTTGCAACAATCTTGAAAGGCCACTTCTTGGCGCTGCCTTTAGACCATATCTCAGGTAGTGTTATAAATTAAATTACTGCCTATCATTTTGCTTTAATGACTTCTGACGCTGACAACTAATTTTCAAATTTTGAACGAAAATTTGAATTACTTCTTAAGCAGCAACATTTATTGCACATCTATGAATGGATTAATTAAATTTTGCAAACAATTAAAAATTCTTGCATTATAATCTAAAAATTTTTTATATGAATCTAACTGATAAAAAATTTGTAGGCATCTACCTCCTGAATACGATGATAGGATATCGGAACCCGTTTGTAAGCTTTCATATATTTACTTTACTTTATCAGCCACTATTTAATTATTAGCTTTAATCATAATATGCTATCAAACGTTGTCTCAATTTTTTTTCTTTATTCATTTTCATTTTTCTTAATTTCATTTCATTTCCTTATTCATTTTATTTCTCCATTCATTTTTGCTTTCTCTTTTTCTTTGTTTTTTTTTCCCTGTTTTAACATCCTGTTGAACTGAATTCTCTGAAATTGAAAAAAAAAATGAATTTGAATAAGATGAAATTATTGAAAACATTGAATCATTTGATGATAAATTAACAGTGATAAAATGAAGAGATATTTTCAGTAGCTTAGTGATTTGATGACGTCAACACGGAAAGATAGCCATTTTTATAATTTCTTCTCCTTTTTTGATTTCTTACTTCATTTGTTGTTGTTTTTTTTATGTCAATTGACAAGCATAAAAATTCAAAAAAAAAAAAAGTACATGTTTAATTTATGGAGAACCAGTTAATTTCGTCTATGCAAATCAGTTTTTTTTAATGTAATTCCTTACAAAATAAAACTTTTTACTTCACTATAATTTTAATCACAATTTAAACAATCCAAGTTCATCATAATTTCAGCAATAACAGGAATGAGAGAGAGGAAAATATTGTTAATAGATCTAGCATAAAAAATTACAAATATTTTCTGCGTTTTTTTTTTATGATTTTTAAAATTGAAAATTTTATCATAATTTTTAGCTTCAATACGAGTTACACGTCCAACAGCACGTGAAATTTCACGTATTCTCTTGTCAAGTTCTCAAATTGTACAACACGATAGATATAATGTATTGGTGATGCAATTTGGACAATTCATGTCACATGACATTGCTAAAACAACCTTGCAACCATCAGCTAAATGTATTTCCTGTAAACCGATATCATCCCTTTGCATGCCAATACCAATTTCAGAAAAGGATGGCAATCAAGCGTATGTTTTGCATACGTTTTTCTATTTTATCTTACTTAATGACCTATGAATGATAAGAAATGATAATATGTTACTTCCCTCAATGCTACACAAATTGATGAAAATTTTTCATATTCATTCCATGAAAAGATTAGATTAATCATACTGTTGTTCAACGTGAGAAATACCTATTCTTTAAAATTAAAAAGAAAATGAAGAGAAACAAAGAAATACTTTGAATTCTTTAATAATAATAAAAAAAAACGTCAAAGCTATCCATAAAGACAGAAAAACTAAAGTAAACATATGAATTTCAATCTGAATGATTAAATTATTTCCATTGATAAGCTATCTGGTCATTTTGGCTAGTTATTTTAGGAAATGATAAATAATGAATTCACTTTTTCATTTTTTTTTTTACATCATTACTTTTTTCTCAGGCAAAAATAATTGTTTGAGTGAAATTACAGTGATATAAGTAATATAATTAATATCTTCCATTTAGTTATAAAATAATAACAGTCAAAGTATTATGGTTTCATCTTAATTATTTTGTATGAAATTATGCAAATAAACTTAACATAATTATTGATTTTTAAACGATTATTCTACATGAAATCGCGAACAATGGAAGTAGCATAATTGCTTAAAATATTAATCACTTACCTAATGAAATTTTGATTTAAAAATAATGCTATCATTATCGTTATCATAGCCTTTTAAATATATTAGTCGCAATTTTATAAATTAATTCCTTTTTCTCGTAATCTCTTCCATCTTTACCACTACTAAATTTTTTGATCAACATTTTTCTACATTTTTTTCAAATGCTTAAAAAAGCTGAAAAAATTCAGAAATTTTATTTATTTTAATTCAAATATCAGAAAGAATAGAAGGGCAATTCCTATCATCTACCTACCTTCCTTCGATTATCATTGTAATCATTATCATAACTACATTAGCAACAATAACTTCTTATTTATTTTATATTATTATCATCATTACCCCATTATTTATTAATATTAATTACTGTTATTATTTATTACTATTACTAATGCTATTATTTTACTATCAAAATTTTCAAAAATGATATATATACAGCTTCAAACAACGACGCTGCTTGAAAATTTCACGATCGTCACCAATTTGTGGCACCGGTCAAAACGGGGTGCCACGTGAACAACTGAACGAGAATACAGCATTCATTGATGCTTCACCGTTGTATGGATCATCTTTCAAAGATGTGCACAAATTCCGCCAAGCGAGGACCGGTTTTCTGCGAATGAATAAATTTAATAATCAAATGGTTGGTTCAAATCATGAAATAATTTTAGCTTCGATCTTTCAATTAATTAAATTTTCGTTAGTTATTAACAAAAAAAAAAAAAGCAAGGAAGGGAGAGAAAAGGAAAAAAATGAACAGTTAATTGTTGTAGGTAATGGTTAATTATGAAATTAGCTAGCGGGTAATTTAACAAAATGGCTAATACTGATTGCTATAAAGATTTTCTAATGAAGCAAAATTTTTT